AAGGGCTTTGGAGGAATTTTTGGGAATTGCAGATTTTACTAAAGTCCAGTTAAGAAGGATAATAAGGGTTGTGAAGAGTAATAAGTATTGAAGGAATATTCGAGGTAATTTATTGCGGTAAAAGGGGTTAGAGATTGCCTCAAAAGGCTGTAAAATGATGGCCAGAAGCAATAAGGTCTACTCAGCACAAGTCTGAGGAGGTTATGAGACACAATAGGTACTGAGAAGATGGTCAAAATCGATCAGTCACTAATATCAGTGCAAATATAAGGAGATTATGAGATACAATTAAAGAGGTTCAGCGGAAACTGTAAGATGTATATACGATGAGAGACCTGCGAACTATAGGTCATAATTAGAACATGAATTTCACATGACAGTTATTATTCCAACATTAAACATAATAGAAATTTAATATCCTAAAATTTAATATTCACGATCATTTTATTAAGGTTTACAATTAACAACGTCGATTCACAATAGAATTGGGATACCATTTATACTATTTCTGTCATAAAACATTACAATAGTTTCCTGATAACTTCGCCCTAGTCAGAGAATATCATATAATTTACTGACTGAATAATTAATAAATATTTCCTAGTGAACTGATAACATCCGAAGGAAGCGGTTGAACTCAAGTTAATTAAGTTACATAAAGTGAGATATTTATGATCATCAGTTTGAGGTTTTAATCAAATTAAATATGATCTTCAAAGTAATATGCTATCAATTTTGAGTCACTTCGATTAACTTCATTTTTTCCACTAAGGAGGGTAGGCCAGAATTAATGTGGTCTCAGTACAGAACTAGCCCTAGGCCGAGGTTGATGGAAAACACTTCCTATTCAATATAATAATTTTTAATGACAATATGTTCGTTTGGATTATTAGTACAACAAAAATGATTACACTAGAATAAATGCTTGCACAGTTAATAATCTTAACACTCACCCAGTGGATAGTTTTATTTTAACAGAACATAAAGGATAGGAATAATCTTTTGTTAGTAAGCCAGAAAATCGAATGGCGCGGCGTGGGTTGTATGATAGAGGGTTTATTTGGAATTATCGCTGCGTTTGCCAGAATTATCGTGAATTACAGAACACTAATATCTTTTTTACAAGAACTTAAAACTATTACAAAATTGTCCGAATTGAGACTGGCCATCATTAACAGGCTTACAATGCTGATTACATTTACTTTTATTTTAGTCTATTTGACGTAGGCCATCGGCCAGGGTTCACAATTACCGTACATAATTAAGGTATTAAAATATATAAAAATTCAGTTTTCCTTCTAGTAATCTCTAGAATCACTACACCTGTTTCGCGTCGATTTCGAATTCCCGCCATATTCACGAGTTTTACATCGACATCCGAACACGGATTTCAAACCGGCCGACTTCCACGGTACGGCTGTTAGCGCAAAACTTTAATCGGAAAAAATCATACAATAAATACATAAATAAATAAATAAAAATATTAATGAACAAATTTGAATGAATGTCGAATAAACTTAAGAGATTTTTTGTTCTACAAAAGACAAACAGCAAACGCTCCGTAAACGATGCTAAAAAGTCTATCGATTCTCCCTTTGTTTAGTCTGACATTTGTATTATTCGCAATACAAAGTCACTCAGCGAAAATTTTATTTATAAAAAATTTTGAACTGATGCAAGAGCTAGTCTCCGAAAAGTTTTCCATCAATATTTGACGAACGTATTAGGAGTTTTCTTTGATTTTAGTTTCATATTGACTTCGTATTTTAAGAAGATTAATGACACGAGTTTTGGTTGATTTTGTTTGGTGTATTATTGAATTTATTTGAAACTATTGTAAATTTGATTTGAAAAATTCATGCTAAGAATTAGTTGTTTCACCGAATGTGATAAGACTTATTTACCGAGCACTAACTAGCGGGCGGAGTGCAACATCCAATGTTTGACCGCAGTTTGCTCTGCAAGCAATGCCGGCCGTCTTCTGCATGTAAAATGGGTAGTAAAAATTACCGAACGAGACGAATAATGATGAGCAATCCACTAAAACTCAAACAGCGTTGCTAACTGGTATATTTCCATACCAGATTTCACAAATCTTGAATGTTGAGACGGTGTTGGTATGGATATTTTTGATCTAGTATATTCTCTAAAATCTGGTATATTTCTGGTATGTTCAGACACTTCGGAAATTTGACTGGAATGAATTAATATATTTATTCAATTTATTTTTTCCCTCTGATACAATATCAAGTTTTTAGTTGTCACTTGAGAAATTTGTAGTAAAATCCCTTTTTCAAGGGAATTATCCCGCCAAACTATTGCCGAACTGAGTCTTTATCTACGGTCCGCCGAGGGAAACTACTGCAGAAGCTCTCAGGCCCAATATGGTCATCCTTGCGGTTGTCCTGTACATCCGAAAAAGAAGAAGAAGGAAGGAAACTTAAAGTCAAATTTTAAGTATAAATCCCCTGGATATAAATCCACTAAGTCCACTGGTTTAAATCCACTGGATATGTTTTTTATTTCGAATTTTCATGTTTCCTTTCTCATTTGGATCTGAACTGTGTGTGACATTTTGCGACTTTTATTTCGTAATAAATCATAACATTCCCTTTACGTTGGCAACACCGTTAGGAAGTTAACGACGCTTTCACAATTTTCTCGTTAGTCATTATCGTTTGACTGATCCTCGCAAAAAGTTAGTTAAAGCTCTAATATTTTCCTTTTTTATTATCTAAATAATTATTGTATTGTAATATTATTTCTTTATTCATCTTCAACGATGATTATTTATTAGATTTACTCTTCAATAGATACGCACGTTGACATGGGTATTAGGTAAATTATTTTTCCATAGCTTAATATTTATTTTCAAAGCCCATCTTGTTATAAGTTTACATTGCATTAAATCTCAGTTCCAGTCTCTTTCATTTCCAATCTTGTTTTACTGTGTGGGTAATGACTGGCTCTTAACCCACAGATCAACTAAAAGGCATCATAAATAACGTTTGCCATGACATATAACCGAATGGCACTTTTAGCGAACTGCAGTTTTAACAGCATATGGTAAAGAGTTTGTTTTGCAAATTACAAATTAAAGTACATTAGTATCTTTGGTTAATGATGCACACTCAAAAATTTGATTGTAAGCCATTAAGGATATTGTGCTAGTAGACTATGCAAAATAGGTATGAAAATAAATTTAGATGAATGAAGCAATAAAACTTGCAAGGAAATTAGACTATAATATGCTAACAGAGGCAATATAAATTGGATAATGATGGCACTAGTAAATTCACCGGTAAAATGTACAAGTCAAATAAACTTCCATGAACTGTTAATAAAAATAACAGTTAAAACACAGAAGTAAAATACCTAATCTTTTTTAAATTATGCAAATTAGCTGCAGTTAGTCCCGCCTCTGATGTCGGAACTTCCCAAGGCAGTCAATAAGCAATGTTTTTATAGAGTTAGAATGTTTCAAAACAAAGGAAAAAATAGACGTAATATGTTCAATTTCGCTAATTTTTTTTTACGTCAAAAACACTTTAAAACAGTAATAAGGATCAAATGACTTTTCTTGTTCTAACCAACATTTCTGACGAATATTTTCGTTAAATTTGGGGTATTAATCTGTTTTGGACGAGAAAATAGTCTGGTATATTTCTGGCATAGAAAATAGCTGGCAAAGCTCTAACTCAAAGAGCATGTATAAAATGCAAAAAAAAACTGTGAACAGAAAATAACCGAATGTTAAATGGTTTATAAATCAGACGAATAAATGGTTCGTGGAGTTGTTCCGGGGCCAGTACCAACTGAGCCAAACGTGAGACTTTATCCTATCCGCAACAACCCAACCACGGTTCGTTACACTTCTTGCAGATGAACATGGTAACTGACAGGAGAATTAGGACAATCAAATGCGTAACTTTCATTCAACAAACGACGGTAAGATAAACAGAATGCGTGTAAGTTGAAGACTTGGGTCACGATTTCGGATCAAGACTTCGAGGTCTCTCTTCATGAGATAAAACTATTACAGACACTAAACATACACAATGGGTGATGCCTAAAACTAAATCACAAAAACTAAGAAGACCTCTTCACACCTATAGCTGTACGTGTTAACATCACACTAATATATTACAGGTCACAACGAAGCACACAATAACGGTCAATTTAAAAATATCAAATTATCCCGTGCACAGTACACACCTGTCCCGTAGGGTGACGCAGATCGAGTGATCCTATAAAGCTACTATATTCCGCAATTCAGAGTGGATCCGGCAACATCGCACGTAAGTCTAAAGCCATTTGATTAAAAAAATGATCAATATAAAAGACATCTATAAAAGTTGCGTTTTCCTCCTCTACAGAGTACCTTCAAAGTTTTGTCTATTTTGATATATTGAATTGGTGACCTAATATTTGTTCATTAATTTTCTCTACGCTCTTGCTAAACTTTATTCATTATCAGGTTGTACGAGACCTGCTAGTCATGCAAAGTTACTGAATTGTATTACGAATACGCAGTTGACGTGGTCACGGGCTGCCTTCTCAGTGCCATATTATAAGGAAATGCACGTGTATTCAAGAACACCAATCATCTACTCTGTATGACATTCAATTTTAAAAATGATGAAAATCCTGCGTAAAATTCAATACATTTAAAACTAATTAAATAACCGTTATTCACTTACAGTATTTTTAATATTACTATTCAAATACAAAGGTCTTTCATTTTCTTTATTACACACTCTTAATAGCGATCTTAAGAGCCTAATTGTATCTGTTGTGAAAAGTAACAAAATCCATTGCTATTTCGATGTCATAAAATTTATTACGCACGGGCTGGGACCTTGTTGGTACATTTCCCGTTATTTCCTGGTTCCTTCAGTGAGTCGGGAATCGCATATGCTTTGCTATGCAGCGTGGAGCTCCGAAGGCCGCTGGGAATGATATAAAAAGGCCCTGATAGTCCTGACTTACCTAGTCTTTAACAGGACGCCGTACTCAGCATAAGTTACACTGATCAAACAATACAATGAAGGTAAGTTTTACGTTAGAAAGTGTACAGTGAAAAATATATATTTTTAAAGTTGATTTTTATATGTTGGCTTGTAAACCGAATTGTTAATTATAATACAGAGTTGATTGTGAAACATCCTGTACAAATAAAACTTAATATTTCGTGATAACATTTTTTTTTCTTTTCCAGTTCATTGCTGTTCTTCTGCTCGTCGCCTTGACCTGCTGGTCATTCGTCGTGGCCAAGCCTCAGCCCGAACCTCAATTCTTCGGTGGTGGATTTGGAGGCGGGCGAGGATTTGGTGGTGGATTTGGAGGTGGACGAGGATTTGGTGGTGGATTTGGAGGCGGACGAGGATTTGGTGGTGGATTTAGAGGCGGACGTGGATTCGGCGGTGGATTTGGAGGTGGAAGAGGATTCGGCGGAGGATTTGGAGGTGGTCGAGGATTTGGTGGTGGATTTAGTAACGAACGTTTCAGTAATGAATTCTTCGGGTAATTATTTTCGATTTGCTTCAAAAGAATTTTGACGGTGCTAGCCTTTCGGAAAATGTCTGCAATCATTCTAAATGAAACGACAACAAACAAGGTTTTGTATGAACGTGTAAAGCTTATCATAAATTTTAAGACATGTTGTAAAACGACGGGTTTTATTCTTTAACCAAATTGTTTTTTAAACATGAGTGAACATCTGTGAGCCAACATAAGTAAAATATTAAAATTGTTGAATTTCAGCAGCATTGCGTTTATGAATTTCTTTAATGATTTAACAATTAAATTTATTGTGACCTTAAATATTATTGTGGTTGACCAAAGTCCGTCAGTATCTCAGTCAGAGTTAGTGAATACTGTTAAATTATGCTGGATTTTAAAGAAGTGAAAATCTACTTGTCTGTCATCTACTGGTGAGAACTCAGAACTGATACTCCACTCCTTGCATGGAGTACTGGTAAAAACTCAGAAATAATGCTGGAATCAAAATAGTGATTTGCACTACAGGTTACTGGTAGACCTTTGATGTCCTTGTGACCTTGTGTTTTATTCATAATAACTACATTTCTTCATTATTACTGTATTTTTTTATAACCAAACTTCAAAGACTAAATTTTCGTTTTACTTACCTTGGTCAAGATCTCTACAAATGAAGTTTCTTACCGTTTAATCGTGGGTTATGGATGAAATGCCCGACATCAATTATTATTCGCATTCATAGGCCAGATAATTAAATTACCATCAGTGGACATCGGAAAAGTAACACACAACATTATAGACGAAATTATCATCAATTGTGAGAGAATTATTTAATGTATGAAGATTAGCTTTGATGTAATTTGAGAATATGAAAATTTGATCACTCGATCGGTAGTGCCAAACAGGAATTTTTTAATTAAACATTTTTCATAGTACAAATGGGTTTGCAATTGGAGATCGAAATGCATTTTAGGGACATATGTTATCGCCTCAGTGTCTTCTTGTTCAGCTGCCTTAAAGTTCACGATTGAAGAATCGGCCACCACAGTAAATTTAGGAA